AAAGGAAAGTTTCAAGCCTAGCCTTAAAAGTAGACAGGGTGTCTGCTTCACAGTCTCACCCCCACTCTACAGAATTTTTATAATAAAGAGATAGTAACTCATTATAATTTTTTATTTTTTTAAAGAGTGGCGGAAACGGGCTTCCATAGATTAACTAGTACTTTATATTTTCCTGATATAAATGTCCAGTTTGTTAAACCCAACCTGCTGCTCATCTGTTTCTAGGGAAATTCTAATAACAAAAATAAGAGGCCATTTAGACGTTTTATTTTGAAAGCCACAGCAGATGACTTCCGGTCCTCAAACGGAGCCGCAGCCTTTGAACCATCTATGCTTTGAACACTGGATGAATTGAGTGGTTTGGGAGGAAAAGGGAGACGTTAGACGCAGGAGGTGAGACAGTTTGGGGGGGAGGACCGTTTGTCCCGGCCCCACCTGGCGCTCCTTCAGACCCCCAGGATGGGTCTCTGACGGAGCCCGTCGGTCCGTCCGTCTGCAGCGCCTTTGTGTGGAGCGCAGAGCCTCATCCTGCCTGGCCGCCGTTGAACGCTTCACCGCGGTGCGTTTACTGCTAAACTAACCAGCGGGGGAGGCTGCTGGGAGGGAGAGGGGGTCTGTTCCTACTGGTGTTTTCCAGTCCGACCGCAGCGTGAGCAGGAGGCCCGCTCCGGCAGAGGATGAGAGCCAGCAGCCCAAACATGACCAGTCTACGTCAGAGGAAGGGCAGCAGGGGGAAGGAGGCCGCTGAGGGTCAAACCCAGCAGTCCAATTGTTGCTCTCATCACCATCCAGACAAGATCCTGCAGGGTGAGTGGCTGACCCTCCTGGGACACCATAGAAACCAATGCTCCCTGCACCATCAGTTGTTTCACCCTGCTGCCACGGTTAAACAAGCTCTGCACTGGTGGCTACATGAGCTTTAGCTCACACTGTATAGAGTCAGAAAGGGGTCAAAATGTTTGTAAACTTATAAATCTTAGTTGAAACTGAAAAAAAAAGTTGAAACTGAAAAACTATAAGTTGATATTGAATGTGAAATTTGTACTGTATAATCTGAGACACTAAAAAAGCAAACAAAAAAAAATCCCTCAGCTTGAAAAAACTCAGGTTAACATTTTAATTAAACTTTTTTCTTTAATTTATTACAGTTGCAGATTTTAGATTTTCATATTCAAATCATTTTCTTTCAGTTTCTATTTTTTATTCATTTTTTTTTGTTTGCAATTGTTTTTTTTCAGTTTCTGGAGCGATGTGTTGCATTCATGGACGGTGGAAACTCCAACAAGAGTTCATGAATGCAACATGGAACAAGACATTTGATCACTGCTACACTATAGGAAATAGATGTTTTCATTTCACTGCTAAGCTCTACTGTCTAAATATACAAAATGACAATAAAAGTTGTTTAATGTCTAAGTCTCCAGCGCTGCTGCAAGCTGTCAGTCACATTTCCCCGCCCACTCCCGTCAGATTGGTATGGAAGCCCGTTTCCGCCACTCTGTAAAAAAAGTAAA